GGAGAGAATTTGGAACTGAAAATAAAAATTATTTATTTTTTTAGAGAATCTCAGATACAGAAGGGACTTTCAGGGTGCTTTTAGGCCAATCAGGACCTCACAAAGAATCCCATCTCCAGAAAGGGTCCTCTGGCCGCTGCTTAAAGAATCTCAATGGGGGAAGCCCACTCACTCTCAAGGCAGCCCATTCTACTTGGGGACAGCCCTAATTGGTAGCAAGGTTTCTTGACATTGAGCCTAATCTTGCCTCTGCAATTGCTACCCAGAGTCCCAGCTTCCACCTTTCAGAAAAGGGCTAATCTCTGCTCCTGTGACAGCCCCTTCACCTACCTGAAGACAGTGACTCTGTCTCCCCTAATAGTACTTCTCTCTGATTATATTTTCCAAAGTCACTTAGAGGTTAAAAGGCTGGATTGCCCTGATTCTCCCTTAGTGAGCTACCATCTGTCCCAAGCTAACAGTTAATGGATTATAAAACACAGTAAAAGCAGTGTTTGGGCTGAAATCCCTAAATCTTGACCCCTACATTCCCCCTCACCAAATGCCTGTGTATTCCCAATTCTACACACACATTCTAACTCAAGAAGCCACATTGCTGGGACATTCTAGCATTGCTCCTGTATTTCAGGAAGCATTTCTCATTCTTGCTTTAACCCCAGAACCTGATATAGTTGCTAGGAAACCTAGCGTCTCTTCTCATCCTGACAGGTCCCTCTGTGCCTGCCTCTCTGTGGCTCGGTCCCAGGCCTAGAACGAGAGATATCTATGCACACACACAAAAGCAGGAGTGACAAAGGCCTTTTTATACAGAGATAACTCGTGTAAGAATTCTGAGCAGGGAAAGAAAAGAAAGAAAAGCAAAAAAGACCAGAGCCTATCAAAATTGTATCATCTGCTTGGCACTGTTACTGTCTAAACAGCCCCCAAAAGGCTTTGAGGACAAGAGGCTTTGGTCAGTCGCCATAGACCACAACTAGGAAGGGAAGGAAGGGAGGGAGGGAGGGAGGGAGAAAGGAAAGAAGGAAGGAAAGAAGGGAGGGAGGGAGGGAAGGAGGAAGGAAGGAATGGAGGGAGGGAGGGAGAAAGGAAGGAAGGAAAGAAAAGGAATGGAGGGAGAGAAGAAGGAAGGAAGGAAGGGAGGGAGGGAGGGAAGAAGGAAGGAATGGAGGGAGGGAGGGAAGAAGGGAAGGAGGAAGGGATGGAAGAAGAAAGAAAGGAGATAAGAATTTTTTTAAGCACCTCCTATGTGCACTTTCTCATTTGACCCTAATAACAACCCTGAAAAGTAGATGCTATTGTTATCCCTATATTACAGCTGGGGAAACTGAGACAAACAGGGTGAAGTGATTTGCCCAGGATCACATAGCAATGTCTGAGGTCACTTTTTAACCTGGGTCTTCCTGACTCCAGGCCCAGAGCTCTACCATCTAGCTGCCTTCAAAGTTATGTTCATTCCATGGGGGGTCTCCACAGAGGGTTCTCCAAGACCAGATGAGATCAGCATTATGTAAAGCACTTCTCAAACCTTAAAGCCCTCTGTAAATACTAGCTATTATCATTACTATTATCTATGAAATAGTTATTGTAGTCACTTCAGGTAAAGCTTCTAAATGTTGGTTCATAGATTTCTAGCTAGGCCAACCCTCTCATTTCACGGGTGAGACAAAAGAACCCCAGAAAAGGGAAGTGACTTATCCACAGTCACCTAGGTAGCAAAGCGCAGAGCCAGGATTCCAAACAAGGTCCCCTGACGGCCAGTCCTGAACGCTTTCCTCTAAACCACACTCATGTTCCAAGCTAACAGTCCTCTCACAGGAAACAACAGTCAACGAATGAGTGCCGGGTTATTCTGGAGGAAGAATCACATGACAAGGAGCCCCAGATTTTTTAGGAAGAGGTAGTTTAGACCTGTGGTTCTACGCACACACGTATATACACACATGTACACGTACACACACACACACGCACACACGTGCATACACACACACCCAGTTTCTTTCACAAAAGAATAAAATCCCCCTCTTTCTGTTATCTAAAATCTAAAGGAGTGGTCTCAGTCATTGAAAGGTCATGACCTCCTCAGGTGTTGTAGCCAGGCACGTCAGAGGCGAGACTTGAACCCAGGTACTTCTGACTCTGATACTCTTCTCTATGATTGAAAACCGCTGCATTTTTTTAAAAATGGAAATTCTGACACTTAAGCCTGAGGGAGTGAGGAGCAGGGGAGGCCAGGCAGAGAGCCCAGAGTTTTCAGGAGACCAGGGAGGGATGAAAGGGATGAAGAAGCTGAGAGACAAAGGCCCCTGCGAGGATGCCAACTAAGCTTTCTTACCCAAAGGGAATAAGAGACTAATTCAGGAGAAATCTAGAAGCAGAGATGAAGGACCACTGAGGGAGCAGAGTCAACATGAAACTAAAAGGCCAACTTGGGACTCAGACAAATCTATTGCCTCTTCTGGCCTCAGTTTCTTCCTCTGTAATATCAGGGTGTTGGACTAGATGACTTGTAACATTCCTCCCAGCTCAACACTCCCTGGTCTAAAGCCCCTCCCAGCCCTAACATTCCCTGTTCTCACCCTCCCAGCTCTGACATCCCCTGTTCTAAGGCCCCTCCCAGCCCTGACATCCCCTGTTCTAAGGCTCCCCCCAGCTCTGACATCCCCTGTTCTCACCCTCCCAGCTCTGACATCCCCTGTTCTCACCCTCCCAGCTCTGACATCCCCTGTTCTCAGGCCCCTCCCAGCCCTG